AAATTGAGAAGAGCGTTTGCCATACTGAGCGTGAGACGCTCAAGGCCGAAAGAGACAACCTTCAGCGCCTGCTCCACAATGAACAATCAGACCGTATAACCTTTGAGAAGAGGGCTTTGGACGAGCGCAATGCCTTGTCAACGTCATTAGCAAGGTTAATGGCGGGATGATGGCTCTGCATGCTCGCTTCTCCCGCATCGGGGCCCTCAGGTATGCTGAGGGATACCGAGAAGGTTTTAATGATCGTCTCCCTGTTGAAGGTCAAACCATTTCTAGCACTGGCCCAGATGACGTTGACAAAGAACTTGAGATTGATCCCTTGAGGGTCTATGCAGACCCGGATTCCACTCCTGCCGAGCGTATCTTTGAAGAGTGTGAGGAGATTGCCTCATCCAGAGTTATTCCTCTTCCTCCTCTTGCTCAACCTTTAGACGTTCTTCCTCTCTCCGTTGCAGTTCCACCTGTACCTGCTATTGCTGAAGGCGGAACCTAGCAGAACAAGACGGTAATCCAGCTTGACTCCCCCCCTCACAGAGACGCCATGACCGAGGATAGGGAGGAGAATGATAGCAATCGTGAGGGTGAGCAAGTGAATGAGGAGATAAATAGAACTTGATTGTACTCATATGATCCTCTTTGTAAACTTTTAGTTCATTATAAATGAAAAGAACTTTTGACTACATGCAGTCTTAATTATTTTATTATTATTATTATTATTTATTTATTTTTTTTTTTTTTTTGCATTATTTTATGGCAAATTTTTATAAAGTCTTTGGCATTCGGCTCACAGTGCCAGTTGCCACTTTCTTTGCTTAAGTGCCTAGCGCTCGGCTAGAATGCCACTTGGCTTTTTTCTTTTTTAGCAAGTGTTTGGCATTCGGCTCGTAGTGCCAGTTGCCACTTACTTTGCTTAAGTGCCTAGCGCTCGGTTAGAATGCCACTTGCCACTTAGTAAGTGTTTGGCGTTCAGCTCGTAGTGGCAGTTGCCACTTACTTTGCTTAAGTGCCTGGCGCTCGGCTAGAATGCCACTTGTCACTTGGCTCTTTATTTCTTAGCAAGTGTTTGGCGCTCGGCTCATAGTGCCAATTGCCACTTACTTTGCTTAAATGCCTGGCACTCGGCTAGAATGCCACCTGTCACTTGGCTCTTTATTTCTTAGCAAGTGTTTGGCACTCGGCTCGTAGTGCCAATTGCCACTTACTTTGCTTAAGTGTCTGGCGCTCGGCTAGAATGCCACTTGGCTCTTTATTTCGTAGCAAGTGTTTGGTGTTCGGCTCGTAGTGCCAGTTGCCACTTATTTTACTTAAGTGCCTTTACTCAATCATCTTTTTGGAAGAAGATAATACTTTTTATAAATCTTTTGAGATTTTATCCATTTGTAAGTACACAATTGAAAATAAGCACTGCCCAAACTGGAATTCAACTTTTATTGATAATACCTTTTTAAAGATGTGGCGTTCCAAGGCTTGTTCACTAGCCTTCCTGCTATGGTCTCAAAGACATATGCTCCCTTTCCTATAACTTCTACAATTCTATATGGTCCTTCCCAAGGTGACATAATGATAATACCAACTTTTCTTTTCAGAACTAAATCACCAGGTGCAAAGTCCCTATGCTTCACCTTTCTGTTATGACTGTTCATAAGCGTTTGCTGATATGATGCTAGCCTTATTGCTGCTGTGTTCCTCTTTTCTTCAAGCAGGTTAAGGTTAAATTTTAACATCTGATCATTTTGCTCTTGACTTTATGCTAAGCTCCGAACGGTAGGGACTTGGTGCTCGACAGGTATTACTGCCTCAGTGCCATACGCCATGGCGAATAGGCTTTCTCCGGTCGGTCGTCTTGGAGTCGTTCTATACGCCCACATGACATTCGAGAGTTCATCCAGCCACTTCCCTTTTTCTTCTTCAAGCTTCTTCTTTATGCAAGCAAAGATCGTTCTGTTTGTGATTTTAGCCTGTCCATTCGCCTGCGGATGGCTGACCGCTACTAACTTCTGATTGATTCTATATTCTTCCAGCAGCTCCTTCACCTGCTTGCTATTAAGGTTAGTCCCATTGTCCATGATGATCGATCTCAGCACACCAAACCGACAGATGATATTACTCCAAATGAAACGTCTCACATGGGTCTGGGTCACACTGGGATACGGTTCTGCCATTACCCACTTGGTAAAGTAGTTTGTCGCAAGCAGAACGTACTTATTATGTGATCTGGTGGTCGGTAACAGGCCAACCACATCCATCCCCCATTGCGCGAAAGGCCATGGTTTAGCCATTACGTGCAAATCTTCTGGTGGTTAGTGAATTAGTGGTCCGAACCTTTGGCACTTATCGCATTTTCTCAAAAATTCTTTCGCGTCTCGTGACATGTTCGGCCAAAAATACCCTTGTGTTATCGCTTTGTGTGCTAGAGACCTTCTGCTTGAATGGTTACCACAAACCCCCTCATGGATAGTCCGCAGTATCTGCTGAGCCTCTGCTGGAGTTACACATTTTAAGTAAGGTCCTAAATAAGACCTCCTATACAATTGATTGTGTACTATGGCGTATTTTGCAGCATTCGATCTGATCCTTCTTGCTTCATCCCTCTGTTCGGGCAAAACACCATCTCGTATATACGCCATAATTGGATCTATCCAGCTCGGCTCATATGGTATGACATTCACCTGCCAGGGATCTGAACTTGGCGGTGCCTCAAAGATAAATGGCTGGCACAACACACCAACCGGGATCACCCTTGCCAATGTTTCGCCAGAACTTGACGCACTGCAAGCCAATCGATCGACATCTTCATTACGCTCCCTCGGCAACTGAACGAACTCAATCTGATCAAAGTTTCTGGCCTCATGCATAACGACTGAACGATAAACCTCCATTGTTTCATCCTTTGTTCCATATTCCCCTGTCACTTGCCGAATAATTAATTGTGAATCACTGAAGGTGACCAAGCTTTTGCCTTTCAGCTCCTTGGCCAACCTTAACCCAGCCAGCAACGCTTCATACTCTGCTTCATTGTTAGTTGCCTTGAACTCAAACCTGATCATTTGGCTCAATGTGGTGCCCTCGGGCATTTGTAACTTGACCCCGATTCCTGCCCCCATCTGATTTGAGGAGCGGTCAACGAAGAGCTTCCAAGAAGATTCTTTCAGGCATTCCTCTGGCTCATCCACATCACACTCCAGTAAGAAATCAGCCACAGCATACCCTTTGATGGCCGTTCGGGGTTCGTACGTTATGTCAAAAAAAACTTAGCTTTATTGCCCATTTTGTCATTCGTCCGAATAAATCGGGCTTATGCAGGATCACCCTTATGGGAAATGTGGTCAGAACGACAATAGGATGGGACTCAAAGTAATGCCTGAGCTTCCTCTTTGCATTTAGCAAGGACAAGATTACTCATTCTGCCTTTGAATACCTTCTCTCTAGGTCGGTCAGTGTTTTGCTTACATAAAAAACTGGGAACTGCTTACCCTCAGCACATCATATCAGAACACCGCTAGTCGCAACGTTAGAAACTCCAAGGTACAAGAAAAGCTTTTCATTTGGTTTTGGGGCATTCATGACTAGTGGGTTCTACATATACTCCTTCAGACGAGTCAGTGCTTGCCTCTGTTCATCCCCCCAGGACTACTTTTCGTGACTCTTGATTGTATCGAAGAATGGCTTGCATCGATCAGATAGCTTGGAGATGAATCAGCTCAGTGCCGCTATGCATCCGGTAAGAGCTTGGACTTCCTTGATAGTGCTTGGTTCTACATTTTTGAGCAAAGCTTCCGCTTGGGCTGGGCTAACCTCAATTCCCCTGTTATTGACTACGTGGCCAAGGAATTGCCCTAAGCCTACGCTGAACGAGCATTTTGTTGGATTTAGTCTCATTCCGTACCTTCTTAGTACACCGAACACCTCTTGCAAATGCTTCAGATGATGGTCCTTCTGTTTACTCTTTATCACCATATTATCGATGTAAGCCTCCACTATCTTGCCCATCTGATCCTTAAAAATCTTATTAACCAATCTTTAGTACGTAGCCCCGACATTTTTCAATCCGAACGGCATAACCTTGTAGTAATAGATCCCTCGTTCAGTGACAAAAGAAGTATTTTCCTCTTCGTTCGGATCCATTGGGATTTGATTGTAGCCTGAATAGGCATCTAGAAAAGTTAACCGCTCATATCCTGTCGTAGCCTCCACCATTTTGATCAATCTTTGGAAGTGGAAAGCTATCCTTCGGGCAAGCCTTATTCAGATTGGTAAAATCAATACAAACTCTCCATTTCCCATTCTTCTTCTGCACCACAACCACATTTGACAGCCAGATCGAGTATTGTACCTCTCTAATGAACCTCACTTCTAACAATCGATTAACCTCATCGGCGATGATCTGGTTACGCTCCGGAGCAAATCTTCTCTGCTTCTGCCTAATAGGCTTGACGTTGGGGTCTACATTAAGGGAATGATAAGAAACAGTAAGGTCGATCCCCGGCATGTCCGAATGGCTCCAAGCAAATACATCGGCATTCTGGGAGAGGAAATCAATCAATTGGCACTTCTCTCCCTCGGCAAACCCTGAGCCTACCTTTGTGGTTCGGTCTAGCCTCAGACGATCAATTTGTACATCAACCAGAGGTTCCTCGGTCAGCACCGGAAGCTCCTCCTCCCTGTTTTTGCTGAGGGGAGGCTTCTGTAATTGGTATTGCGCACCATCAGATCGGATAGGAGCTTTTCCTTTCTCTACGGCTTTCAGAGTTACCGAGTAACACTCTTTTGCTGCGACCTGATCCCCATGGATATCTATCACCTTACTCCCGTCTAGACTTAGGCATCTCATCAATTGGTATAGGGTCGAGGGGACCCCCTTTACCCTATGAATCCACCCCCTCCCCATCAACAGATTGTATGAGGGATGGATCTCCACCACCACAAAATTTTCAACAAGGCTCCTTTTAGCTTCTCGAACCATCAATTCCACTGTGTCGATCGGTTCAACTCGTTTGCCATCAAACCCCAACAGCGGACTTCAGCTCCTCTGGACTGATTTCCATCCGATCAAATGTGATCCTAGGCATGATATTCGCACTACTCCCCGGATCAATCAACACTCTTCGTACCAAACACTCAGCCACTGTCAAACTTACAACCAAGGGGTCCTCATGAGGAATCTGGACTCGCATCAAGTCTGTTTTATCAAGCCTTATCTGCGTTATTGAGTTTTGTTAGTGCAGATTGTTGACACTACCTATACGTCTTTTCATTTGTGCTTGGTGATGAGCACTGAAAAGTGCATATTTAAACCCCTTAAGCTTAGGCACTCTAGTACCTTTATCTATCTTATTTTACCGTTTTAGATTGATTTCGTATTATTTCCATTTTCAGGCACTTATCCCGAAAATAAGCTAACTCAGCCAAATAAGAGCTTAATTGAAGCAATTCTGGGATTAAACAAAGAAAGGAGCAAAGTGGAGAAAGAAAGAAGCAAATGAAGCCAAAGGTGGGAAGTAACAAAGTTCGATCGATCCAACTTCAAGGTTCGATCGATCGAACACTGATCGATCTTAGTACTTCAAGATAGATCCAAAACTTGACCCAAAAGCAAAAATTCCAAAGTACGATCGATCCAACACCACCCTTCGATCGATCGAACACTTTTGTCCTTATTCAAATAATTGATCTCATCCACAGCTGTACCACCCACTAAACACTTTTGTCCTTTTCCCAAAAATATCTCCTAAAATATCTCGGATTTGCCTTTTCCTAAAAAGCTCAACCAGTTGGATCGATCTAGCCTCAGTTCGATGGATCTCAGCCAGTTCGATCGATCCAAGTCCAAGGTTCGATCGATCAAACTCCCTCTAGTGCGAAAAAGTTAAAAAGCCAACTTGTTCAGTCCATCCTCTATCCAATAATTAAAGAATATTCTTTGCACAACCCTAGCTCATTTGGTGTGTCACTTGACCTACCTACAAAAGGAATATAAAGCACTTTTTGAAAAGAGATCTTAGCATTCGGCAGATACAACTTTAGAGGCTATTCTTAGTGTAAAAGAAAAGAGGAGGAGGCTAGAGACACCATTGGAGTTCTTCATCAACAAGGAGCAGATTTTAACCATGGAGTTAGCCCTTGAGGGTTGGAGCAACATCACCATGAGTGGCTAGACATCCTCTTGGGGCTAGAGTTAGCCCCAAGCATGTTTTCTATATCTTAATCTTGTGTATTATTGAGGGATTAGTGTTGTAATTAATGTTTTGACACTTGGATATATATAGATCTTGTTTATTCAATGATTTATGTGGTTTAATGCTTCCAATTGATCATTTCATTCTATCCATATGTCTTGTATGCTATAATAGATGTTCATGTGTTTGTCTCTAGATTTTGTGTTATTGATGCATGTCTATGTGTATTGATGCTATAGATTTAGAGATTGTCAAAACATAGTGCTTAAAAGAATGCTCTTGTGATTTTCTTGATGGTTCATACTTATTCCTTGATGGATTGTGCCTCTCCCCTAGTTTATTTTCATGCTAGTAGTGTAAATGTAGTGTAGTTGTAGCGTAGTGTTAAATGGGAGGACAATCCATGCTTATTGTTTGATGATCTAAGCTTTTGAATGCAAGTAGCATATATCTCTAACCTTGTGTTATATTTGGATTGTGAGCTTAATGAAAGGATTAATGACTTGTTTTGATCTATTGTGCATTTCACATGTCGTTTAGACAATATATGCTTCATTGCTTAGATATATTGTGCCTTTCACATGATGTTTAGACAATACATGTTTAACTAGTCATCATTGCTTGTTGAATCAACCAAACACACACACACCATTATTGCAACACACCATTTGCCCTCATTAGTCACTTGTCAACGGTATAGAAATGCATTGCTTGGTAGTAATCTCTAAACCCCAAGACTCTTCTCTCTCTTACTTACTCTTAGTTGCATTCTTTTGTTATTACTTAATTCAATTTCGTTTCTCTCTAATCAACCAACTAACCTATTGTTTGATCACTCGACCTACTAGCCCTAATAGCGATTCCACAACCTTGTCCGACCCTCACAATCCCTTGGGACGATCCCTACTCGCCCTAGCTATATTTATAGTGAAAGGTAGTAGTGGCTTCTATAAATGTAAAACTCTTGGCCCTCGCCTTAAATTTCACACTCTCAAACTTGGTGGTAGTGCGACCTCCGTTCATCAGTTTTTGGCGCCATTGCCAGGGATTAATCGATTTGATTTGGCAACGTCGGATTTGTGGAATCAATTAGGATTAGTACTCTTTTGATCATGTCTTTACTGTACTTTTATTTTTCTTTTTGGTTACTTATTGTGTTGTTCTTACTTGACAAGGTGCATTGTTGGAGAGGAAGCAAGCAAAGGAGCATTCAAGCTAAACAAGCAAGGAAAAAAGCTAAAAATTCTAAAAATTTGGTAAGCTAAGCTTTAAATTTGGAGTTGAAGTGCTAAAGGACCTTTGTAAGACTTTCTTTACTCAATCCCTTAGTTAAATCGTCGGCCCGCGTGGAGGCTTGTTATTAATTGTTCTTTACATCATTGTTGTTAAAGCATGGGAGTATGAATTAAATGTTTGTGGAGGAAGTTTCATTGAAATTGTTGTGAAGGCATAGTGTTTGTCATTCTTTGTGCTTGTTGTGTTTTACATTATGCATGCATGGACGTCGTTCATTGAGACCAACTCTTGTCCCTCTTGATTTGCATCTTGAATCCGTAATTAGAAATCCTAGAGGAAGAGGAAATTCAAATAGAACCAATCTATCAATGGATGACCATAATAATGATCATGTTGAGGACCTTGGTCACATAGACCAATAAGGTATCCTTCATCCTAATGTGCACAATGAGAACATACAAGTACCATTAGGCATGCCTAGGCCATACATTCACCAACCACCACAACAACAAGGCCAAGCTCCATATGGAATGCCAAGGCTAATGTATACTTCACAACCTCCCACATCAATCAAGGAATTCAAAACCAAGGTGTTCATGTTTCACCTCAAGTAGCTAATCCACCTCTTGCTTTAAGAGACCATTATGTGCCTAATGAGTATAATGCACCTACATGGATCCAATTGCCTCCATTTAGAGCACATCATTATGAAATTAAGCCACAAACCATTCAAATGCTTCCTAACTATCATGGACTTCCAAGTGAAGAACCTTACAAGCATTTGGATGAGTTTTTTGAAGTATGTTCCACCGTAAAATATACGGACATGCCGGAAGAGGTCTTAAGACTCAAACTTTTTCCATTCACCTTAAAAGACAAGGCAAAGTATTGGTTTAACAATCTTAGGCCTTTTTCAATCACTTCTTGGGCAGAAATGCAACAAGAGTTCTTGAAGAAGTACTATCCGGTTTCAAAGACCAATGCCATGAGAACCTCAATTCGAGAATTTTCACATGGTGATGGAGAAACGTTTCATGAGGCATGGGAACGCTTCAATAAGTTGCTTAGAAAGTGTCCACATCATGACATGCCCAAATGGCAATTAGTTCAATATTTCTTTGAGAGCTTATCAGACAACTATAAGGGTATGGTTGATGCTTCCATGGGTGGCTCATACATTGATAGGCATGAGGATGACGTGTGCGTCTTTATAAGAGCATGAGTGGAAATTCTTTGCATAGAACATTATCATCCAAGAATGGTAGAAATTCACAAGGTAGGAAGAGTGTTGGCTTACATCAAGTTGACCATTCAAATGAAATAGTCGCCGAAATGAAGTCTTTATCTCAAAGGTTTGATCAATTTTTTATTAACCAAAACTCGGCGAATCAAGTATCTTCCTTCCCTAACCATTCTCATCATGCATCAAATGAAACATGTATGACTTGTTCTAGTGTTCTTCATTCTACTTCTTATTGTCCTCACGGACAAGTGCAAAATGAACCTAATGAACAAGTCAATGCAGCTTTTGTGAACCAAGGGAACAATCCTTATGGTACTCACTATAATCCAAGTTGGAGGAATCATCCGAATTTCTCTTGAAAAAACAAAGGAGAGGGCACAAACTGTAACACCCCTAATTCTCAAAAGGATATAACTGGAATTTATTTATTTATTTATTTTATATGCATTTTAATTGATTAATTGATTATTTGATTTATGTGCATTTGAAATTGTTATTTATTTTATTATTTGCGTAATTGATTAATTGTGAATTATTTATTTGTTTTACTTTAATTATTTAATTGTAATGGGTTATGTGTTTTAATTTAAATTAGTGTATTTGTGATTTAATTATTTGATTATTAGTGACTTAATTGACGTGTATTTTTGGTAGCTTAGAGTATTTATGTGTGTGTATTTATAATTATGTTTAGGGTTTAATTTATGTATAATGGGGTAACCGATGTATTAATGGACTGGGATTAGGATTAGGGTTTAGAAGGAACCTATATATATATAAGACAGTAGGGTCTGCTAGGTTACAAACCCTATTCACGACATAGTATCTTGAGAGGAAAAGTAGAGGAAAACTAGAGAAGAGAGAAACAGAGAGGTTTGAGGGGAAAATACAGAGAGCTTTTAGCTATAGACTGAAAGTGTGCCACAGAGGAAGGAAGAGGTTGATGGTGGAATATAACTGGAGCAGTAGGAAGGTTGCTGGTAGTCGTCCGTTCGTCGGAAACTCCATAGACGGCGGTGAAGATTTCAAACCGGAATCTAAAGGCAAGTTTCATTCTATCTTCTTCCTGTAAACTTGTGTTTTGTGCATTCTCTATAGTCTCCAGGAATCTAATTTAATTATTAAAATGGATGTTTATGCGTGATAGAGTCTCTGTACAATTTTAAACCCTGTTCGCTTTTGAAATTATGAACTGTTGTGTTTTTGGTTTAAATTTTTGTCAATTTTTTCACAAGAGAATTTGAGGAGTTTCTAGGATTGAATGAACTTGAATTGAACCCTAGGAATGTAAGAAAAATTCTAGAACGGAGAGTTGAACTTCGCCGGACGCAAAGAAGACAAACGGAGAAAACATAAACTGTTGCGTTCATAGTTTTAGCCTATGTCAAGTAATTCATAATGGAATTGGAGAAGTTTCTAGGAGTATTTGGGCTTAAATTGAACCTTTAAAATCCTTAAGAAACTTAAAACAGACAGTTGGAATTTCCGCCAGAAGCAAAGACGAAGAACAGAGGAAGTAGAGAGTGAAAAACGGAGGCTGGGG